ACTAGGTATTTCTGTCATCACAGGAGTCTAGAGCGATGGCTCCATGGTGGAGGGGACCTGAGGGAGGGTTTGTAAAACAATGAAAGTATCTTTTCTTTTACTTTTCAATAAAAAAAAAAGAATTAAGCTTACCCATTGTTAGACTGGCAACACTTATGTATAAGGAAAATACAGCCTCACGAGATAGGAATTTTTTTTTATTGTCAGCTTAAACAAAATAAAAACCATAGGAAAGCCTCTTTCTTCCTTCCCCCCTTCCCTCCCTCTCTCTCTCTCCCTCTTTTCCTCACCCTCTCTCAGGTATGGTGAAATCAAAAGGTAAGTAAAACCTTCTGGGAAAAAAGTTTCTTCAGACAGTGTCATGAGGAAATTCTCACCCCCCGAAGTTTGATAAAAATTCAGGGGTAGACGTGAAAAAGGTTCATAGGATTCCCTCACTCTCTGAAGTAAACTGCTCAAAAACTTAGAGGTAGAAGTGAAAAAAGAGTCATGGAGAACTCCCCATCCTCTGAAGCTCAATATATTTATCTCTTAGAGGAACTGCTTAAGATCTCAGGAGTAAAGGTGAAAGAAAAATCTTTTCTGTATTTGTTTCAGTATGTACAGAAATGCTGTTACTGGTTTAAGCCAGTAGGTAGAGCACAGTTAAATGAAAAATCTTGGCAAGATATTGTGCAACATTTATGAAGAGCACATAAAAAAGAAGAACATATTCCTACTGACTTTTTCCAAGTATGGGCTTTGATAAGAATAGTAATAATGTCTGTGCAGGATTATACTCATAGTCCAAAGAGATATGGCTGAATCTTTGCATGTATATGAATTAAGTGATACTCCATTAGAGAAGGTTAAAGCTGAAGGTGAGAAACAGCCTTTGTCACCTTTAGAAAGAGCCTTAGGAAAACACAGTCCTGAATTATTATTTTCTCTTAATTAGCATGTATTGACCCAAATAGTGCTCTTCCCAGGCAATTATTTGCCTACAAGTATTTTTATTGATTGTTTTGTTTTTGGTTTAAGTTTGCTGTTGTTCTTTCTTTGGTTTTTTTGGTCTTAAGTTTAATGTAATAATTTCGAGCTCATACAATCTGATAATTTCAGTAAAATAAGAAAAGTAAAGGATATAAGAAGCTAACATAAAAGGAAACTCTTAATTCAGAAGATGAAAAAAGTAATAGAGTGAAGATAAATAAATTAGAAGCTGCAGATGAGAAATTTTTAAAGACTAAAATCTCTAAATTAGTAAAAAATAAAATAGACTACATTTGGCAGTAATAAAGACAGCTAGTTTGTTCACCTTTGGTAGTACAGAAGAAGTTTAGAAGTAGATAACAGAGAAAATGTAATTTAGTTCCCAGGGTAAATGTAAAGAATAAAAATCATAAAAAGATGTGTCACAGAAGTTGAGTGCCCTTGATTGACTACCTGTAAAATCCAAAAGTTAGGCTTTCTAAAGCATCAAGAAACAAAGCAGTTTTTCCCCAAGCATAAGTGCCATGTTCATTATAACAGAGGGACGTCTCCAAGAACAGGCACAGTGTGGAGCAGTGCCCATAATAAGAGAAACCAGAGGCTCTAACACAAGTGAGTTGTCTTCAATATCCAGTGAGCAGAGGCTGTCCCATGGAAATAAGATTCCTAAAGATACCGTAGGACTGACTAAAGGATGAAGTAGTTTAATAAGTAAAGGAATATTTGTATATATTTGGGGTGATAGGTCTCGGCTAAGAAGGTAAAATATTTATAGTGCTGTCTACTTGACAATTGCCAAGTCCTATACAGATGACACAACCCTGCTTGCTGAAACTGAGGAGGACCTCATGCACTCACTGCAGAGGGTCAAGGACTGCAGCCTTCAGTATGGACTGAGGCTCAATGT